CTTCATAATTAAATATTCATAAAAAATGCGAATGAAAAGAAAGAAGCCTGGCACACAGGAAACATTTCTCACAGAGGTTGATTTTAAGGACCAAAGGTCAAGGATGCATGCTCTGAGCTCAGGAGTCCCTCTAGGATTGTTTAAGCATGGGTACACCCACTACTGGTTTGTATGGGGTCCAATCACTATAGTCACTTCGTATTCAGAGACAGAACATGGATCTACTAAAGCCCACAGCTTTCTGAACCATTATCTTTTTAAAACATCATGGCATAGGCCTACCTAACTGAAACAAAAGTCCAAATTTCAGTAATCAGATTCCAGAATCGTAGACTGAACGACTGAACAACACTCAGTGAATAGAAGCAGATTTAAAAACATTGTTTGTGGAACGGGAGTGGGAGTGGTCTCCCTCTTTTAGACCAAGGATCGTAATAACAAGATTGTTCACTCAGCCAAAAAAGTGTCACCGGAAGTTCGGGCGTTGCTTTAGATGGCGCTGCAGTCTTTGTTTGGAAGCTCTCAATTAGTCTCTATCTTTTCTCCAGAAGAAGATAGGAATAGCATAGTTTGTTGGTTTCACTCACAGAATTCTACATTCTACACTTAGTGTAGAATTCTGTGGTTTCATTTTATCGTTTTTCCCACACAAAAAGGGTAACTCTGTTTTCAAAGTTTGCGCTTTTTCAAAGAGGGCGCCACCAGATTTTGAGACACTTTATTCAAAGAGAAAAGTGAACTATCTTGTTATTGGCTACACGATCCATGTTTAGATAGATTTAATAAAAATTTGGAGGGGAAAAGAATCGGGTTATAAATTTCCGGTGACATTTTTCACCCAGCAACAATAATCAGTAATCAGTATGGCGTCCAGAAGTAGATCATCCAGAACCAGAGGATCATCCGAAACTCTTGATCTTGTTTTAGTGTTTGGTGAGAATTCTTTGACTCTGCTCAAATGCTAGATCTAGATCTAGATATCTAGATCTATGGTTATGTTCTGCCTGTAATTATGATGACAAAGGACAAATTACAAGCAGAAAGAAACTGTCGATGACACCACTGTCGCACTGATTCAAGTTCAAGTGAATCATGTTTGCTTGGGCTTGTTGTTGTTTGTGAAGCTATTACTATTATTACAATTAGAATCTAGATCTAGTCTAGATCTAGATCTAGATCTAGTCTTTCTTTTATAAAAAAAATGTAGCCTACAGTTTGGACTTTGTTTAACAGACAAAAGTACTTGGACTCTCTAGCCTGAATGTTGTGGCCTGAAATTCACTTAGTAAGTGACTTAGGTTAAGTTCATGTTCAAAATGGCTGTTATTCTGAGAACAAGTGGTTCTCGAGTTCTGTGGTTTTCTTTTGGTTTGTCTCTGCGTGTTAATGGGAGAACAATTTCCAAGAATAATACATACAGTGGTTTACAACTCTGAACCATGTGTGTGTTGATTTCTGACTTTTGATCTATTGAAATGGTTGTGAGAGACATTTCAGTGTGGATAGATAGAGACATTTTAAAGGGCCACCTACATTCTCACCCCTAATAGCTCGACCCGCTATTCTCCCCCCCCCCCGCCCCCCCCCCCCCCCCCCCGTCCCATCTTTCACTGTAGACCCTGAACAATAAAGAATTTGTTTTTCTGTACCTTGTTTCAGGTGTGAAAAAATTACCCATTCATCTGGATTTGTTGGAAGAGGAGGGCCGAGCAGAACGTCTCAATCTGTACCATCTGTCGCAGGCTGTGTACCGAGAGACACAAGTGGAGCCTTCTTGTCAGAAGATTATCTTCCGAGGTTTGGAGCATGGTGTCATCATGGTCTAACACAACTGACAAAGTTATTTTTTAAAAAATTCAATTTGTTTCTTTTTATTTGAATTATATTTGAATCCGACATGTATTTGGAACTGAACACTTGTTTCGTGTCAGAACTGTCAAATTGTTTACATTGTTATGGATGCAGCTGGTCAAAAGATAAAGTCATCGCTTCATTCCTCTTTATATTGATATCAGTTTTACCGATCTGCCTCTTATAAGCAAACACATCAGTTATAGATTCTGACCTGTGACCTCTTGTGGAAATTTCATTTGCATGTGGGGTACGGTTAGCTGTCGAGGGGTTAAGAACTTACAATTATATATTATAATTACATTGTCCTTCTGATATCTTTGCTTTTCAGGCCGCACGCTGTTTAAACCCAACGACCTTGACACAGTGTTTATGAACTCTAGTTTGTCCTCGCTGGGGCTGAGAGATGGAGACAGAGTGATGGTGTTGGGGAGAAAGGTGAGTTGTCGGGTGACACAATGGTGATGGTAAAATTGGCCATTCCTGGTTGTCTTTAAGATGTTACATTCTACTCGTCTGGCTCCAATTCTTCTATGCGGAAATTTAGTGGCATGTACAGCTCGGATCTGTCTGTATCGGGAAAAAATGTTCATTTTGGAACCAAATTTGATGGTATTTACAATTAGGCTCATTTGATCCGTGAACACAGGTCTAGTCTTTCAGATGAAAGCATGTTCTCGCAAAACGTTAACTCTAAAATGACTTTAAAAAGGCGGCAAATTTCACTTTTTTTCTTAAATTATCGAGTTGTTTGAAATTATGGGATATTGGGGAATATGGGGATGAGGATGATGTGTAAAGAACTCTGATTTTTATCTGTCTTTGTTTTCTTCCTTCAGGCGAGTGAGAGAAGGGATTCCTCAGAATCAAAGGTAACGACACTGCTTGTTTGATGTTTGTATTCACTCTCTTAGTTGAGACCCAGCACCTCTGTATGAGATTGTGTGTTTGTTTATATTAGATAGAGCCACATCACAGAGAGGGGCTGTGTGGGAGAGACGTCACTGGCTGTGTGGGAGAGACGTCACTGGCTGTGTGGGAGAGACGTCACTGGCTGTGTGGGAGAGACGTCACTGTCGTCAGAGCACACATATAGCTCTGTCCCCTTCGTTTTATGGAAGAAAATTTTTGAAATTATGCCAACTGAGCCGAAAAATGTGAAATTATGTGATTCTGTTAATTTTAACAAAGAATGATCAAGGAAAATAATCCGAAATTATGCAAAAAAAATGATCAAATTTTGCTAAATGATACGGGGTGCATAAAACCACGGGGACAGATAGCTGTAGCCATTTCTTTTGTCAAACCGTAGTTCACCCATGTCAACTGTATGTCTTGGGGCAAAAGAGAAAATGTCTGAAGTAATTGGATTAAAGGACAAGAAAGAAAGCCCTGGTATATTGAGGATGAGAAACAAATAACAGCCATTTTATTAACCTGTCCAACAACTAGAAACCTGAAATAATTACTTTAGTACAGTTGAACTTGTGGCGTTTTTAACAAAGTTCAAAACCTGACCTTTTTCAGGGCAGCCAAGACTCGAACAATCCCCTAACACAATTGTCCAGTGAGGTAGACGCAATCTGTGGCCGGTGTGAGCAGCACATCTCAGCCGTTGGTGACGCTCGTGTGAGTTCATTCTACTTTGTCTACAGTAAAACCTCCGTCTTTGTCTACAGTAAAACCTCTGTCTATCCAGTAAAACTTCAGCGTATGTCTACAGTAATACCTCCGTCTTTGTCTACAGTAAAACTTCTGTCTGTACAGTAAAACCTCCGTCTTTGTCTACAGTAAAACCTCTGTCTTTGTCTACAGTAAAACCTCGCTATAATGAACTCTCTTTGGACCCAGGATTTTAAATGTCTTAACAGAGGTACGAAGTAGCCAAAAAGAGGTACAGTTCTAGCCAAAACCTGACAACTTTGTCAAATTCTGTGCCTGCAGACGTATATTTTTTATCGCCCCAAATGACGTGCTCCACACCATGTCTGTTTCCCCGCTTCCACCAGAACGATGCCGAGCGTGACGTTTTTATCTTCCCCAGTGAAAGACTCATTCCTGTCCAGTCCTCCACATTTATTTTTACCATATTGGTCAAGTTTAAAATAGATATGATGATACTTTCTTTCGTTGTGAGAAGTGGAATTGGGAGCTTGAAGGTTTGTTTTTGGAGTGGCAGTGCAGTGAGTCACCAATAGTTGTGGGTGGAGCATCCCGAGTCACTTTCCAAGTCTAGGTTGTTCGTCGAATCCCTCAACTATACACCTGCTTTTTGTATTCTGTCTCGGGACTGGAGGCTTCCCTCTTGTTGTTGATGGTAATTTTTCGGCATGATGAACGAGGTACATCTTGACCCAAAATGGTCGTTGATACAAAACTTTCATGCATTCAGAAAGGCAGCACAGATTTAATCGTGGCTCTTTAGGAAAATCCATGAAATGTTATAGGGTTTTGTTTTATGTTGATTTTTAAGATCCCATTTTTACATACATATAGAACAATGAAACAAGCTCTTAGAATTTAATGATTTTTAAAAAATTATTTTTTTTAGGATCTGGCAAGTCTGAAAGCGGGCAAAAAGTGCATTATGGGAATCCACGAGGAATCGATGAAGCTACTGGAGAAAATCGACTCGACCCCAGCCAGGGAGGATGAGGACTATCGAAAACAGCGGAAATCTCTCGTGAATAAATTGCAGGTGAGATTTGTGCTGTCTTAGGCTAATGAAAGTGAAAGCATTTAAAAAAAGATAAAATGACTTTTCTGCTTTTTAAAAATCTGTAATTTGAACGCTGTGAGCGACGTGATGCAGAGAAAATAATTTCAGTGATTTCCAACACCTGGTTGAAAAATCACCTAAGAAGGCGATCCACTTGAAAAAGCTGCAAAAACACTTGAATAGACAGTAAGCCCCTGAACATTTTGCCCTCACTGGAAAAATAAAAGGCTAAAGAGGCAGGAGTAAACCAAATATAACTTTTCAGAGAACTTGAACTGATGGCTGACAGGAAAAGACCAGGACAATATAGGTGGGTTTGTTGTTTTTTTTAGAGTATCCGAGCAGAGAAATGAGTGGGAAACCACAATGGACGAAGAAGTTTCCTGTGTTTCTAGGGAGATTGTTTATGGTGTGTTTAATAGATGGGTCTTTCATGTGAAATTGTAACATATATATGTAGATCATTTATGTGAGATTGTATAAGGAGTATTTAATAGATAGGTCTTTCAAATGAAATTGTAACATGTATATGTAGGTCATTTATGTGAGATTAAAAGGTGTATTTAATAAGTCTTTCTTGTGACATTGTAACTTGTATATGTAGGTCTTTTGTTTGAGAGTGTAATATGTATGCAGGTCTTTCGTGAAGATTTGATTTGATTGTTTTCATGACATAGCCTCACAGTGATAAATGTTTTTAATCAGCACAAAGCGAAATTTCTGTTGACAACCTTTCGTCTTGTTTTGTCAAACTGAAAACTGACTTGGTGAATGGTTTTGTGTGTGTGGGGGGGGTGCCAACAGTAAGTCCTGCTTGTTGTTTGTTTTTTCCCAACTGTTGTTTCCATCTGCCGAGATTTTTTTCCTGCACTAAATGGCTCGTTGTTTTGACTTGTTTTTCTTCCATCAACTCCAAACTATACTCCGACTCCGACCATTGATGTCCTCTCCCCCCTAGGCCTTACTGGACAGATGCGAAGATCACCTGGACAAAGTGAAGCAAAAAATACGAACCTTGGAACAAGATGGCCGACCCAGTTAACGACTGCCAATTTAGTCTGACTAGAATCTAGATTATGTTGCATGGGCGTGTTGGAATCGGAAGTGGTAGATCTTGTTGTTCTTGATAATGATGCAATTGTTGCTGTTCTGCCGTGATTTTTAAAAATATACAATATGTGCAGTTTTGACAATTTTACAGGAAAGCCCCCAAAAAACTGAATGTTGTTAAC